ACTGTACTGTTTTGCTATTGGATGTACCACATATGACTATTCTAGTTTCTGAATAACTGTTATGGCATGAGATATGAGCCACAAACTGAATGACTGATATACTGATAAATGACTATTTTTAATATTGAAAGGACATTCATTCTTAACCTCTTTACGCATATGTTATTCACTGGGCTTTAGCTTACTGTTTATATATATATATATATATATATGTAGGTGTACAGGCACCAGACCGTTACTAGAAGCGTCGGGCTATGCTCCCGTTTTGTCAAAGCCAACCACTGTACCTCACTGCGAGGTTCCAAGTCCTTCAACTAGGGCTTTTTGGGGGTGTTTTAGTCTTCCCTCTTTTGTATCTGGTTTTGTAACACTGTATAGACTGAATGATATGTGTACCTGTACTGTACTGTTATGGTAGGGATTTGGTCCCTAACCTGATTATCTGTATATGATGTATGTACATACTGTTTTGTTTCGAATGTGAATATGTTTTGAAAAGTCTTTTTGCATACCGACTGTCACAGGTCATTGGACATCTTTTATTACTGTTTTGGCTTCCGCCAGTCCCTGTACTCTGTATTACTGTCTTACTGTTAAGCAGGCCTTTAGTAATCTCGGATTACTGGCCGGTTACGGTACTAAACCCATAGGGGCGAGTTTGGGTCGTGACACAAAGTGCCTCAATAACTTCACTGTTGCAAGTGTTGCCTCTGCAATTTCACTTAGGCATTTTCCTTCGTAGAGTTTGTTTGGACCCTTGGTGGGTAAGACTTGCTTTGGTCTATTGTTGGCCCACTTCCCTTGGGCTTTAGCCCATGCTCCTTTCGTCATTCCTGGTCGCCTTAAGACCTCAGCACTTAGATCCATACTTAATTTAGAGTTTAATTTTTGTCCCTCTACAGCTTTGCAACTATAAAATGTTACAGTTTTAACGTATAATTTTATTAAGTATTTGTTCTTATTAATCAAACTGAAAAATGTTATGAAACTGCAAAATTTTACAGTTCTAAAGAAAGTTATGAAATTGTAAAATCTTACAATTCTAAAGAATAATTCATTTCAACACCAAAGAAAATTGAAACTGTAAAATTTTACAGTTTTCACCATCTGTGATTAAAACTCGAAAACAACTTGTGCAGAATTTAAAAATTTTCTCCATTATAACAGGAAAATAGAAGTGTGTAGTACAGAAAAAGTATTAAAACTGAGAGATCGAAGGAAAGAGATAGACATAGAGAGATGCTTGTACTCTGACAACTATTTTGGTTTAGATCTAATCGGATCTAATATAGATCTACTCAAATCTGATTAGATCTTTAGATCTGAGTAGATTTATTCATCTTCTTCGCCGAAAATTCATCTATTTCGCTGTCAGTGAGCACGAAGCAAAGAGTTGGTGCTTGGTGGTTGCCTGTGAACCCTAATCAATGGTGGACACTAGTCGCCAGTGACTGTAGATTAGAAAGAGAAAAAAAAAGAAGGAAGATGTGGTAGTGATCGTCGTCGTTGTCGCCGATATTAAAGAAAGAGATATAAAGAGAAGAATCAACATATAATGAAAGAGAAGAAGATAAATAAGTATAGGATTTTTTAATCTATCTAAAAGATTTTGGAATTAAATACTTCAAAAAAAAGACTTCTAGGTAATGTGCCCTTTAATTTATGGAAGAGGTCTAATTAGGTGATGTAGATTACTTTGGGCCCATTTTTAATGGGGGGATTTGGTTAAACTCCTCTCATATAAAATTTTAATGCTTTAGAGATAAATATAAAAAAGTTTTCATTGAAAAGTCCAACACATATCACTATTATTAAAATATTAAATTTTAAAATAATATAACTTTTGTTAGATGTCGATTTTTAATAAAATAAGTATTTTTAGAATCTTCATCTATCAAATAAGATCTATATTGACTATGAAATTCTTTAAAAAAAATAAAATTTATTATCATCGAAATTGATGTAAATAATAACATGTTATTCTGGTTCACAGTAACATGTTACTATGAGAATATTGTTCAAAAATGATAATTTATTTTGTTCTTACTCAATTATGCGCCTTCTTCTTAGGAGATTTATAAAACAAAATAAATTAGACTGTCATTTTCACCAAACAAGGGTCCAATAGAATAATTTTAGTTAAATTTCCCTTTTTTAAAATAATATGAACTATTTATATTGTAATTCAGTGAATAATTCATACAAAAAAAAATACTTTGAGCCTATTTTAATAATTTGAACTATTTATATTTTGATTTCTCATCTAAGTAAAAAAAAAAAAAAAATGATTTAGTTTCTTATCATTATATTTGAATGAATAAAAGAAAAGATGATATGTAACTTATTACATTTTGTTTTGATAGAATAAATAAGAGAAAATAAAAGAAAATGTTGTATTTCATTTTACCAAAATAATATTTCATATTAATAAATTATGTTTTTTTTTCATATAAAGGTAATTTTAGTATTTTAAAAAACTTTTATTGAACACAGTTTCATTCTCACCATTTTCAGTGATAACAGAATACAAGTTTGGTAAGAATTTTTTTCCCACCCCCATTCTCATCATTTCTCACGTAATTAACCCTCCAAACAAATAAAAAAATGTCATATTCTCATTATTTCTTTTACAACAATGATACATCTCACTAATTTGGGAGCACTAATGGACCAGTAATGAGGTAGAAATTAAAAAAAAAAAAAAAAATTTAAGGCCAAAACATCCCATCAGTTAGTGGGACCCACTCCCTAGAGCTTCTTTAGTACTCCCAATTTAAAACTCCCAAACATTTTTCTTTCTTTTATTTTCTCACCCAACACTACCATGCGATTAACACCATTTTTTAACACCGTTTTTTATTAAAAATATTTTTAGTCAAAGTCACCGATATTTTAACACCGTTTATTTTCTCATCATTTCTCACGTAATTAACACCATTTTTTATTAAAAATATTTTTAATCAAAAAATATTTATGTTGAAAATATAAATTAAAAAAATTAATAATTAATTCAAAATTAATTAATATTAACTTTTTTAAAATCATTTTTTTATTTAAAATTTATTATTATTTTAATCACAAAACACAATTTTTAAAAAGCCATTTTCTGAAAAAAGAAATTACTAAAACCATTTCACCCTACTATAAGAATAAAGTTAAAAATCCACCATAAAGTCAGACTAAAGTTTTAAAAATAGCATAACCAGGAAATCAGCCAGTGTTAGGGTTTATTACTGAGAGGGAGAGAGAGAGAGAGAGCGCGCTGTTTCGGCCAATTTCTCTCTTTGTGCCATTTTGAACATTTTAATCCCATTTTAGGGTGTACTTTTATCTTTATTCCCAAAGTAGTGTAAAACGGTTTTTGTAATGCCGTTTTTTAGAAACCGGCTTTCACAAAACCGTATTCATCGATTAAAATAATAATAAAATTTGAAAATGAAAACCGGCTTTTCTAAAGCTGTTTTTGATTAACATTTTAATTATTCTGAATTAATTAAAAACGGTTTTCGTAAAACCGTTTTTCCATTAATTTTTTTTTATTTATATTTTCAACATATATACTTTTTGTTTAAAATTTTTTTTTTCATGAAAACCGGTTTTAGAAAAGCCGTTTTTTAAAATTAATTTTTTTTATTTATATTTTCAACATAAATATTTTTTGTTCAAATTTTTTTTCTTCGGCTGAGAGAGGGAGAAGTCGTCGGTCTTCTTCGGCTGAGAGAGGGAGAAGTCGTCGGTCTTCTTCGGCTGAGAGAGGGAGAAGTCGTCGGTCTTCTTCGGCTGAGAGAGGGAGAAGTCGTCGGTCTTCTTCGGCTGAGAGAGGGAGAAGTCGTCGGTCTTCTTCGGCTGAGAGAGGGAGAAGTCGTCGGTCTTCTTCGGCTGAGAGAGGGAGAAGTCGTCGGTCTTCTTCGGCTGAGAGAGGGAGAAGTCGTCGGTCTTCTTCGGCTGAGAGAGGGAGAAGTCGTCGGTCTTCTTCGGCTGAGAGAGGGAGAAGTCGTCGGTCTTCTTCGGCTGAGAGAGGGAGAAGTCGTCGGTCTTCTTCGGCTGAGAGAGGGAGAAGTCGTCGGTCTTCTTCGGCTGAGAGAGGGAGAAGTCGTCGGTCTTCTTCGGCTGAGAGAGGGAGAAGTCGTCGGTCTTCTTCGGCTGAGAGAGGGAGAAGTCGTCGGTCTTCTTCGGCTGAGAGAGGGAGAAGTCGTCGGTCTTCTTCGGCTGAGAGAGGGAGAAGTCGTCGGTCTTCTTCGGCTGAGAGAGGGAGAAGTCGTCGGTCTTCTTCGGCTGAGAGAGGGAGAAGTCGTCGGTCTTCTTCGGCTGAGAGAGGGAGAAGTCGTCGGTCTTCTTCGGCTGAGAGAGGGAGAAGTCGTCGGTCTTCTTCGGCTGAGAGAGGGAGAAGAAGATGGGTTGGATCGAGTCGTCGGTCTTCGTCGGCTGAGAGAGGGAGAAGAAAATGGTTTGGATCAAACACGGCTTTCGTAAGGGAGGAGAAGGAATGAAATGGGTTTTCTAAAACCGGTTTTCATTAAAAATGTTTTTGGTCAAAAAACGACTTTTGTAAAACCGTTTTCAAAAAAAAAAAATTTACTCAAAAACGACTTTTCTAAAACCGTTTTTTATTAAAAAAAAAATTTTGTCATAAAATATTTATTTAAAAGAAATTAATGCAAAAACGGCTTTTCTAAAACCGGTTTTTATTAAAAAAAAAATTTGACCAAAAAATATTTATGTTGAAAATATAAATTAAAAAAAAAATTAATGGGAAAACGGTTTTACGAAAACCGTTTTTAATTAATTCAAAATAATTAAAAACTTAATTAAAAACGGCTTTAGAAAAGCCGGTTTCTATTTTGAAATTTTATTATTATTTTAATCGATGAATACGGTTTTGGGAAAACCGTTTTCTAAAAAACTGAATTAAGAAAACCGTTTTACCCTATTTTAGGAATAAAGATAAAAACACACCCTAAAATGAGACTAAAATGTTCAAAATGGCACGAAGAGGAAAATTGACCCGCTGTTTCCAAACAAGAAAAGAGGAGGAGGGTGTTGAAGTTGAAGTTGAAGTTGAAGTTGAAGTTGATCAACTATCAAAATTCACTACTGCAAACATTATTATTACCTTCCTTTTTCAGAAATTCAACCATCAAAATTCACTACTGCACACATTATTATTACCTTTCTTTTTCAGAAATCCATATGACATATACATGTCTGCAACTGCAACAACAACAATCTACTCCTCCTTTCCTCACCTGCTCCCAACCACCACCACCACCACCACCACCCTCTATTTCACAAACTCACATTCACATTCCACATCAAAATCAAACACATTCCCTCCTCAAGTTTCATCCACCAAGATCAATACCACCTGTGCTGTGCCTCCCATTCCCAAATTCCCCCACCCACCTTGGACCGTCTCCGAGATAGCAGAGGCCATCAATGGCACTATCCTAAAATGGGGCCCTCCTGGATCCATCTCTACTGACACCCGTACTCTCCAACCCGGCCAATGGTTCTTCGCCATTACCGGTCTAAACTTCGATGCCCATCATTTTATTACCCCTAATTTGTACTCTCTTGGCTGTGTTGGTGTAATCGCTAACCGGGTTTCCCATAATTGGGACAAGGGTTTTGTTCAGATTGAAAGTAGCAGTAATAATAATACCCTAATTTCATTGAACAAGATGGCTATTTACGCTAGGAATAGGTTTCATGGTCCCCTGATAGGGTTAACTGGCAGTGTAGGTAAGACCACTACAAGAACTATGATAGCTTTGGCTCTTGAAGGCTTGGGTTCTGTTCACCAGAGTCCTGGGAATTGGAACAATCGAATTGGGGTTTCTTTATCTTTGATTGGGATTCCTAGGAATGTGGACTTCGCGGTTCTGGAGCTTGGGATGAGTGGGAAAGGAGAGATTTTGGAGCTCGCCAGGATGTGTAGGCCGTCGATAAGAGTGATTTTGAATGTGGGTGCTTCTCATTTGGGGAATTTTGGGAGTTTAGAAGAAGTTTCGGTGGCGAAAGGGGAGATTCTAAGAGAAGCTAAGCCAGGGGATGTGTGTGTTCTTTTTGCGGATGATCCTCTTGTTATGAGCCTTCCCGTCCCAATTGGAGTTAAGAGAGTGAGTCTATTATTGTTAGTTCTATTATTTATTTATTTTTGAATTTTAGCTACATCATGTATAAATTATCATTCTTTCAACCTGAGGATCTAATTATGGATTGTAGCCATATGAGAGGATGTCTTTCCAGTTTCACTTTCACCTGTTCAATTTGAGAAAATAGTTTTTAACACCTTAGTGTATTATGCACTTGGGCAGTTGGCATGATAGATAGTGTGTATGCATATGCATACATTTATATACCTTTATTTATTTATCTATAAGCAAAATGGGTTCTCATTGGTACAGTTGATGGAATTTTGCTTCAGGACCAACTCACTTTCCTTCCAATTTTGGAATTTTCCAGTGTTTTATCCCAGTTATTCACTTTTCGGTAATTTTGATTCATGATGTAACTAGATCATAACATTTTGTCAAATAGCAGGCAGAATCCACCAGATGGCACGTGAACCTGTATAGTTTGATGTCTTTGAACAGTACCCGTATAGATGTTGACATGCCGGACGCTGGTGGTCACCTGGGTTCTGTGTATAGTTTGATGTCTTTGTAACAGTTATAGATGTTGACATGCTGGACACTGATGGTCACCTGGGTTCTGTCATGTTATTATGCCTTTTGCGTCTTCTGTTGTTAGCTACATTATCCATTCATTTGGTGGAGGAAACAAGTGCTTATATTTCTTGATATTGGATTACTTTGAATTATGTGGAAGTTATCTCCAACTCCAAAATAGTCTTCTTTCTTTCTAAATAAAAGATGGTATTCTTGTGAAACTTCATGTTAAAGGATGGTATTCTTCTCTTTTACCAAAGCCCAAACTGTTCACTAGATAATGAAAATTTTCCCTGGCTTTAGGTGCTCTTTGGTTGGAGAATGGATTGCGATGTTCGGTTGCTTTTGGCAGAAAGTACTGATGGAGGTCTTGGAGTTCGAGTTGTTTTAGAGAGAAATAAAGAGATGTAAGTTTTGACAAACAAAAACATTACTTGAATTTGTTGGACTATTAAACTTAAAAACATATAGGAAATTTACTAATATCTTCTCTTCTTTTGATATTCTGTGAGAAATGGCACATTATTTTCCCGTGTCTTTTCTTAATTAGGCTGTTTATGTCCATATAATTAAGTAATGTGTGCACTTGTTTTTGTTTTTTAATATTTATTATATTATTTTTTATGGTAATTCTCACTTAAGACTTTAGGAGCTATGCGGGTTGATAAGGTTATGAGTTGTGGTTCAAATGAGGATAACAAACTTTAACACAGATTTTCAATGAAACAATCCAGAATTAAGTGGTAAGCACCTTAAATCTATCTTTTATGGTTCAAGAATTACATATCAGTACATTTGATACTGTGAATAATATAAAATTATAGTTTCTTCTTATGAACAAAATTTTGAATTATAATTTCCTCATATGGACCCCTGCTCTTTTCTCTGCTAGTCATGGCTTGCCCTTAGTTGCACAAAGTGGGAGCAAGAGCGGGGACAAGTGTCTAAAGTTGGGAGCTTTAATGTGTTTTATATATAAATATATTAAGAAATAATTTTGTAGTCTAGTTGTAATATACATATTAAATGTCTACATTACATTAACACTTAAACTATTAAACATAAGCATGGTAAATTCTCGTTACAAAAGGAACAATTCATCACCAATAAATACAATTCTCAAAAAAAATCTGTGATAAATAATTACAAAACTAATTGAAACATCTATAAAAAAATATCTCCATCCTTCAATTCCTAAGAGAATAACCAAAATCTAAGATAGATATATGTTCTTTACAAATTTTATTTTGCCTTGATAGTTGTCCTTTTCTTTCTTTGGGGTGCGTATGTTAAGTGGTCCATCCCAAACCATGATTCTATCTCAACAAGAACGAGATTCTAACAAGATTTTTACACTTAATCGTGAAATTTACGTTATAGAGTGGAAACATCATCCTTAGTAGGAGATTCCTGCAACTAAGTGCTTGCCTGTGCTCAATTCCATTTTGGAACCTTCTGAATTTTTATTTTTATTTTTTTTTGGGTGCAACTTCTGTGTATTTCCTTCTCTCCTTTTATTTCTATTTATTTATTTTTTCCAATTGATGTTGCCCTTCAAACTTCAGTTATCTTTTTTTTCCAGTTTTCATTGAGCTTGGAAATTTCCATTGTATTTGTGAAACTTCATATTATTTTATAGCATCTTATGTTTCGATGTATTGACAGTTTTCCTCAGTGTTTATATTAGTTTTTTAAAATTTTCTTTTAAGAAATGTTCAAATTATTCTAAACATACTCTCTCTCTCTCTCTCAATTGCATCTTGGGGGGCACATAGTGTTGAATTTGTGATCTCCAGTCCTGGTCTGCATTTGGCTATGAATGCATGTGCAGCAGCAGCTGTTGCAACTATGTTGGGAGTTTCTCTTTCTGAAGTCGGGAAGTGCTTGTCAAGATTTATTCCTTTTCACATGAGATCAGAGCTTGAAGTTGCTAGAATTGGTATCAAAGTAATTAAGGACACTTACAATGCCAATCCTGTTAGCACCAAAGCTGCTATAGACACGCTGAAAGGCATGAGTTGCAAAGGTAAAAGAGTTGCCATACTTGGAGACATGCTAGAACTTGGTCCAACAGAAATAAAGTTTCATGAGATGATGTTAAGGCATTGCTGTGATGCTGGTTTTGATCTTGTTGCCCTTGTTGGAGAGAGGTTTCTGACAGCAGCTGAGAATTTGAATTTAGTCAAAGAGAGATATATCTTACACGCTGATGATGCAGAAAGCCTTGTGCTTGAAATAGTTAAAAGGTTGAACAATAATGACATTGTTTTGGTGAAGGGCAGTCGGGCAATGCAAATGGAGAAAATTGTTGATGCAATTAAGGACTTGGGTATTTGAATTTCGTATTTCTAAATTTTTGGAGACAAGTTCTATTCAAGTAACCTCTCTCTCTCTCTCTCTCTCTCTCTCATCTGGTATTGGTTTCATTAATACTGAAGGTGCTTGCATACTTGAATTTACCGATATATTCAGTCACCACTGTGGTAGAAGCTACTGCTGGGATATATGCATCTAATATCAACTTGGGTATGATGATAGTGAGGCGTAACATAGATTATGAGAAAGGGTGAGGAAGTGAAGACAAATTTATATGGTGTTTTCTGCTTGCTAGTACATCAGGAAGCAGAGTTAGACATTTTGGGACCCTGAACTGCTTTAGAAGAAAGAGGATGAAGCAACTCATAGATGAACATCAATTATTTGAGCTTTGTTTCTATATTTAGATGCATTTAAATGAAAGTCAATAAAATGTTTATGTAAGCCAACTTTGAAATATGCAGAGGGAAACTAATTCAGAATTTTCTTATTTTTCCTCATTAGAAATCTATATGTATATATATATTTAAAAGATGTTTGTCCAAACGTCATCCTACAAATTTATGGAAATATTCATTTTCAAGAAAACACCTTGGTAACCATTAACTGTCTGGCTCTCCAAACAAAACAAACAATTACTAGTTATATAAGAAATTCTATGTCTACTCTATGTAAACAAATAATTTTATCAATTTGAAGTAAACAAACAACCAGAGCATAATGGAATATCTTATTTAAACATTGAATATATGTGTCATTACTTAAACTAATCAAGTGGAGGTATTACTGATGCAATGGTCTGAATGATGGTATGTAGAAGGAGCACAACAGCTGAGATAGTTGAAACAGTTGCCCATGGACTGTTGAAGTAATCGTGCCTTAATTTTGCCATCATCACATTCCAAACTTTGTTACAATGTTGGTTGACCTTGTTGCAGACTCCTTCATAGAAGAAACTTGATGACGTGACAACTCCTTCACCAAACTTTGTTGATGATACGAGCCACCTCTCATGATAATTCCTTTCAGTCGAAGTAAGTTCACATCTTTTTCTGTGTTAATAAGTTGATCCATGAAGGTTGTATAGTCAGTGAAATATTTGGGGTTGACATGTGAATAACGTTGCTCAAAGGCAATGAGATTTCTCAAGAAGGTCTCTGTTGAATCATCAAATTTAAAATAAGGGATTTCCATTAGACCCTTATTGAACTTTATATCGAATAAGCTAACACTATTGGACATGCTATCTGAGTCTAATGACTCAACACCTGCACAAACATTTCCAACCTTCTTGAACCTGACACCGGCCTCTTGCTACTCTGTCGCACTATGCATTTGGTCCCAGACCTCACTAACATATATGGTGTTTCCTGCTAACCTTGTTTTCTCGGATGGAGATCAACAAATGATGTGCACTTAGTGAAGTAAATGCTTGATTTCATGAGACTCGTTTGCAAATGAAAATGCAGAAACTGGACATAGCTTTGGGAACATACTTGAGAGAGTCAGCACTAACCTGTTCATGAAAGGTTCTTTGTGCATTGGATCCTTAGTCATGTTGTACAATTCAGTCACAATAAAGTAAGGAAGTTGGTTTTCAAGTAACATGAGGTTGCGACAGATGAACTCTCACCCAATCTACGCTGAAGATAGGATCATCTTCATCGTCTGGCTCTAATTCTGAAGTTTTTCGAACAAATTCAACAATGAAACAGCTGTCAAGTAGCATCAGCTCCAGAAATTCATCTGTCTCAACGTTTACGTGGCCTGCATAGCGTTTGCGAGCTTTGTGTTCCAATTTCTCCGAGGCTAATATGTAAGTCTCAACACTTTTTTCCTCCTTTCGTTCAAGAAATGATTGCAGATACCGGAGCGGATGTTCTTCCATTGCACATAAGCTAGGGTTTCTGTAATGGTAAGGGCCTATAGAAACTATCATTGGTGTGTAGGCATTAGAGTTTGATCTATGCAGCCCATCATGCACTTTGAAAATACATGGTTCTGGAGTGGGTCAATTAAGAGCAACCAAGAAACAACATGTAGATAAGATGAGTGTGGCGGAGATGAGGATGCTAAGGTGGATGTATGGCAAGACTAGACAAGAAAGAATTAGAAATGAGTGTATTCGAAAATGGGTAGGAGTAGCACCGATAGAAGATAAGTTGAGAGAGAATCGATTGAGATGGTTTGGTCACATTCAACGGAGACCAACAAAGGCAGTAGTGAAGAGATATGATGTTGTAACGGTAGAGGGGAGTGTTAGGAGACGGGGTATGCCTAGATTAACGTTGGCTAACGTTGTAAATAGAGATATGGATCTACTTAATTTGACTAACGAAATGGCCTTTGATAGGGCCGCGTGGAGAAGAAGGATTCATGTAGCTAACCCCATTTGATGGGACTCAAGGCTTGGATTGGTTTGGTTTTGGAGTTGGTGGTGGCAAGTGATGAAGCTTTTCATTAATATCTCGTGCTAGTTTATGAGGAGCTTCGTTTATTGCAGTGAGAACTAGATTATCTGTTTCTCCAATATTGATCTGATGCTCTATATCTTCATCTTATTTGGCATTTGTTGGCATTGTGAGATACGTGAACATACTCTTTTGAGGGAGAGGAAGAATAGAAGACTTGACGGAGGGCTTTAGCGACAGAGAAAGAAAGTTTGGTAAAAGTTTTGTAAGAGTTTAGGGAAGGAACACTTGTAACAGGAACTTTACTATTGTCGTCTAAATACTCTAGTTCATATAGATTGTTGATCAACTGAGTTCAACTGATAGGCCCAAGCCTCACCCTCTTTTTTTTGTTTTTGTTTTGTATGTGAATGTGAATTATCTGAATCTAGTTCTGAATACTGGACTGATCTTTCTAGAAAAGGTCTCTTGGCATTTCACTCTTTGTTGTGGGGGGTTGTCACGGATTGGCCAGCCATATGGATAGGGAAATCTAAGGAGCTTTTTGTTTGATCACAATTAGAAAATAATGAAGATGTGTTGTAAATAACACCTTCTATTATATGCATTAATACAAAAATGTCAGCTTACATGTGCCCACTATTTTGGCTGGTTTAATGGCTATTCCATTTCTTGGAAAATAAACATCAGAAGACAACAAATAGTTCAGTACACTTTTGTTAATTTATGGTGGAATTTTTATGAAGAAAAGTGAACAAAATAGTTTTTTTGTAATTTTTTACAAATCCTTTCATTTTTATTTCTCCCCACAAATTCATTTACAAAACTAAGATCCAAACACTGTATTACAGAATTCAGTTATATTCGGATACTTGCTACGACTTACGTGCTATAACTGAGGTGTCATAATATATCTATCAATTTGATTAAAAGGAATATATTAGCTAGCTTCTCTGTCTAGTTTGATTTTATCAATACCTTAGACAAAACCTAATTCAGTTGTATTTGCCTATTTGAGAAATGGGTGAATTTTCCTTCTGACCTCGAAAAATAGTAATCTGAGACGTAATTGACCGATTTCTGTCCAAAATTCTAATGCCCACATTATTGATTGGACCAAATTCACACGAGTGAGAAAATTTAGGTACCATTGGTGTAATTTTTCCTTCTCCATTTGGTACTTTTGATTCCATTTCGATATGAGAGTTCCAAATTTAGAGTGCCAAAAATCAAGCCTAATATGGTTGATCAACCAACTGAACGCACAGATGATGAAAAACAGTTTGTTTTGCACCCTTGAGTGAAAAACAAATTGCTGATCCTTAAAACACTCCATAAAATGGTTGACGCTTTGCTTATTACAAATTTATGGTTCTCCCAAATGATTGAATGAAGAAGCAGCTCAGTGGTTTGGCATGCCACTTTCCAGGAAAACAGGCTATAGCTGCCCAGGTTTCATTCATTACATATTATGGAGATAATTCTATATCATAGCAAACTATCAGCGAATCATAATGATACCCATAATTTCAAATAACATCAATGATATGATTTATCAACACATTCTTTTGCTTTGAAACAAAGTAACAAAATTTGTACAGAATAGTTGACTACAGAAGTTGTATGTCATTGAGCTTGAGAGATTGTTTGCTGAAGATATTTCAAAGTTTTTCGATAATTCAAGAATCCCATAAACCAAAAATCAAAATTGTCCACAGTTACAATTTCTATGTACTTCCGTGATGGTCTCTTCACATTTTGGCTTTCGTTGGCTCTCAATATCTTTTCTAGTGGGATCAATACCTGCATAGAGTAGACATTGTTCGATATTAATATTACCAACTTTGAGATCTCAGTAACAACATGGAGATGTAAATATGGATGTGTATCGACTCACCTTGTAACGAATTCTAATAAACTCGCCGGTTGGAGAAGACAGTTTGATGGATCTCTCGCTGCAGAAGGCAACCTTGTCGGATGAGATGAAGAGGAGGCCTGCTATTGGACCAGCTGTTGTTGATAAATAGCATTGGCAAGCCTTTAGCAGCTTCTCTCCGTCTCTAACACTAAAGTTGTTCTTGAAAATCTTCTTCACGCCGCCTACTCGAATAATTTTAGCCCCCAGGCTCAGTTTCCCCTTCACAGTTTCAGAGATGTTGGGCCCCAAACTCACTGCAATTTTCACAAAATCAAATATGACTTGCATTCACATAGAGGTGTATCATGATCAACCTATTTTAGCTGAAACTAACACAGGCTCGGGAAAAAAGAAATTGAGATGTTACTAGTAAATGCTAAATACTTTTTTGTTTTGTTTTGTTTTTTGGGTAACAAGGATATCGGTAGCTTTGGCTGAACACTTTTCTAGTAAAGATATACTCCTTTATTCTTGAATTTAGTTATTCTTAGACTCAATTGAAGCAAGAAACCAGTTTTTACCATGTTCTCGAATGCCATTTGCAAGATTGTTTGCTTTTCCTCCAAGTTTTTTCATCCTATCTACCTTATCTGCACATTGATCACAATCAATTGTTAAACACTGCGTTGATTTAAAAAATTTAAAAGTAGTAATACTATTAAGCAACAATGGCTATTTATTTGCAAGGGTAATGAAGAGACTTACTTTGTTTTAATTTCAGAGATCCAATCGAAGAGGAGGATATTTGGTATTGGCTAGCACTAGCACTAGCACTATTAGGGTCCTGTAAGATTCTTTTTGATGTCCTCTCATCCAGATATGCCAGAGGTGAGCTGACCAGAGTTCCAAAAACATGTGCCAGCTGCCGTGTCTTCATATTTGATGAATTGCTATTGCTCCAATGTGATTCTGTTTTCAATTCCTTGGTTTTCCTGTATGCAGAAAGCAACTTGCTCGGAATGTTGTGTGATTGTCAGATGCCAAGGCTGAGGAGATGCTTAGTATGATGGTTCAAACCATGGATCAGCGAATGTACTTATAGGAGGAGAAAGTTAACTTTTAGTGGAATGAGTCATGTGTGCCTCATCCACATGAATAAAAGCAGCACACAAAAAGGCATTCTATAAAGAAAAGATTGTGGTTGGGGAGGTGATGATGTGTCTGGCTTCTTTTGAAAAGAGATTTGCAGAAAGATCCAAGTCTTCTTTTGTGAAGATTCCACAAAATGATCAAGTCATATAAAGAACATAATTAAATAGTGAACAAAATTAGAAGTAATGGAAGCATTTACCAAAGACAGTTTATTAGAGGCTAAGCATTAGATAATTTTTTTCAAAATTGAAGAGAATGTGATAAATTTGTCCCTTAAAATTCTAGTTTTCAATTAAAACTTATAAATTGATCATTCAATCTTTTTTCAATTCTAAAGTAACTTTTAAACTTCATTTTTGGTTTCATGGAAAGAATTGGGAAATCGTACACTTTGTCCAATTGGTGACTGAAAGTAAAATAATAGAATTAGTAGGGTCGGCAGCATTTCAACCATTCAATCTTACAAATTAAGCAGCACACATTGGCTGCTTATAATTAGGTATTGCTGACTGTGTGGGAGGGTAAGAATTAAGCTTTCTGAGCTGGCATTTTAGCTTTGTGATGCCATTCCCCTCTCTTAGTTTCGGAGGAAAAGAAGCTGGTCACAATGTCAGAATCTGATATGACCATATCACCCAAATGCATTTTTATTATCTTTATCCTCAGCCTGAGGTGTAACTTGTAAGGGAAAGGATTGTATTTGTAGATTAAAAGAAAGATGCTTCAATGCATTTCAATGGTCCAGCTCAACATGTTTCCATGTCCAAATCTAAAGCCGGCCTTACATGCTGCTACGCCTTCATAAGATTTATATATATACTATATATACATGCTTAATTTTATTGTTGGTGGGAAAGAGAATCTTACACATCGATGCCCCATCAGCACAATTTTCCCACATGTTCAACAACTTTTCAGCTCTTGAATTTTGAAGGTTAATGACTGTTGCTGTTTTGGTAAAATGAACAGTAAAAATACAGTTTTAGGTGAAGATACTAGAAATATGGTCAAATATTAAATGCTATGGGTATATATTGAATATGCATAATTTTATCAAACCTATTGTTGGGTATAAGAACAAAAAGTGTTCCAAGTTCATGGTTAAGGATTTTAGATAAGTTTTGTAAGAATTGGGTTTTACTCCAGAATTATCCACATTCAAATATCTGTCAAAAATTAGGGTGAGTAGTGTTTGGACATGTTTGCAGAAAAGTTGTGAAGACTAAGGTTTTGCTGATCAGTTGAGTGCACTCCAAAAATTAAGTATATAGGAAGGACTCAATGGAAGGATTCTATCAGCCATGGCAAACAACCTTGTCACTACTCTTTGAAAGTGCCAATCAAAATTATTCTTGAGAAGAAGATCAATGAATAGGAGCTAGAGAAGATGAGAGAGCGATGATGGGCAGAAAATGACAGAGAGTTAGTTTGCTTGAAGTTTCATTCTACACCGTACATTTCATTTTCCGACCATTTTTCGAGCTAACTTTTCTGGTTCCGTAACTATTCCCTTTACACAAAGATTATAGTAATTATATTAGACAAAAGAAATACAAGGTGTCAATCCAACACAACCAAAAAAAAAAAATTTGTTTAAGAAAGGCTTTGAATCTGTTCTCTCTCTCTCTCTCTCTCTCTCTCTCTCTCTCTCTCTCTCTTTCTTTCTTAGAGGTTAGTAATCTCACTTTCTAAGGTAAACTATTTAAAATAAAGTAGTAACTGGTGAATCATAGATTCATAGCCATCTATTTCATACTGATTGCCTTGCCATGTTTAACTGCATGAAAAGAATGGATATGCTACCAAATTATGAGGAGCATTAGACATTGGTCAATGGTGATTGTGTTGTAATGTGTCCCACACTGCCTGAAGTTGCCCCCATTTGTACTAGTTATAAAGCTCCAGTTTCTCTCTTTTTAATACCTAGGTTTTAAGGAGAAATATGGGTTGGGCTTTTCAATTTGGTATTAGAACTTGGTTAGGCCTGTGACTGGTATACCGTTTATCCAGTTAGTGGATGTTGTGGTTTTATTTAAATGAATCCTCTTTTCCGAATCTAATTAAACCCCCACGAAAAAAACCTAACACTCTAATTTTCATGATTTTTTTATGATCCTATCTTGATTACACCCAATTCCCTGTTTGACAAAAGAGCCATTTGTATGCAATAATCACATTGTAGCGGGTATAGTTTAGCAGTAAAACTGTGATTCGTTCTATTAACCCCCTTAATAGTTAAGGGGTCTTTCAATTTAATTCATATTCCAATCAAAAACTTTATTTTTTAAAAGGATTTAATCCTTTACCTCTCAATGACAGATTCGAGGAAAAATATGCATTCTCGTGATTTGTATTCAAAGACCAATTAGAAATTGAAAAATTGGATTATGAAATTGCGAAACATAATTTTTGAATTGGATTAATACTTCCAATTGAATAAGTATGGATAAAGGATGTGTTGGAATATGTCTCACATCACCTGGAGTTGCCCCATGTGTGCTAATTATAAGGTTTCAGTTTCCCTCTTCTTAATACTTGAATTTAAGGAGAAGTGTGGGCTGAGCTTTTCAATTGATTGGTGAGCAACATTTTATATTTAGTGTTTTGGGAAGCATTAGGCTTGGTTTTGAGTTTTGAGTGAGTTGAAATTCTGTGAGCTTAAGAAAGCTCTCGCTCATGATATTAGAAGGCTTTTTGATAGTTCTCTCAAATTATAGATTGCAACGACTTACTGGTTTCCATTTCCGATCTTGGGAAGCAAAATTGCAGGAAACTAGGCATTTTTTTCCATATGCAAATGATTCTAGGTTGTAGAAAATCATCATCAAGTCATGATGATATATAGCAAACAGTATCGACAACCCATTTAATGAGAAAATTGTTTTCCATTGAAGTAAAAGCCTAACAAAATTTTTTACAATATTTATACAACTTTTTTCTCCTAATTTGTTACAATATTCAAATTGTTCTTTTGATCTATTTGTAATTATTGAGCTTGAGAGAGTGCTTGTTGAAGATATTTGAAAGTTCCACGATAATTCAGGAGTCTCATAAACCAAAAATCAAAGTTGTTCATAGTAACTATTTCTATGTACTTCCGTGATGGTCTCTTTGTGTTTTGGCTTTCATTGGCTCTTTTTGTCTTTATTAGTGGGATCGAGACCTGCATGTAATACACATTGCTTACCTATTATATATTTATTTAAGATGTTAGCAAGAATGGATATGAATTCAGACATGGACAAAAATATATATATTGACTCACTTTGTAATGGATTCTAACTGCCTGCCCATTCGAATAAGACAATTTAATGGATCTCTCACTGCAGAAGGCGACCTTGTCGGTGGAGATGAAGAGGCCTGCTATTGGACCAGCTGTTGTTGAGAAATAGCATTGGGAAGCCTTTGACAATTTCTCTCCTTCTCTGATGCTGAAATTGTGCTTGAAAATCTTCTCCACACCGCCTACTCTAATAATTTTAGCCCCCAAGCTCAGTTTCCCCTTCACAGTTTCAGATATCTTGAGTCCCAAACTCACTGCAATTTTCAAAAAATAATATAAGACACTGATAAAGACATATCATGATCATCAATTTTGTTTCAATGTTGAGAAGGCAGAGGAAATGCAAGCAAAATTCTGGATTTTCAACAAAAACCAAACAAATTCTGAATATTTCTTTGATTTCAAAACTTCTCAGTTTGTTTTTCTGCCTTCTTTTTGGCAGCAAAACAAATTGAGCTGTTAATATGATATGGATGCCAATAAACACTAAATAATTTTCTAGAAAAATAAACAACTATGTTCTTGAATTTAGTTTATTCTCAGACTCAATTGAAGGAAGGAAACAGTTAGTTATACCGTGCTCTCATATGCCATTTGCAAGGTTGTCTGCTTTTCCTCCAAGTTTGTTCATCCTCTCTACTTTATCTGCGCATTAGTTACAAATCAATTGTTAAACAATGTCTCTTCTCAATTTAATAATTCAAAACTAGCAAGTAAAAAAAATAATTTATCTCTTTATTGGTGATGAGAGTAATGGACAGACTTACACTGCTTTAATTTTAGAGGCCCATTTGAAGGAGGAGGAATATGGTATTGGCCGCTAGCAGGCTCTAGAAAAAGTCTGTTTGGATATGCCACTGACAATGAGCTGACTGCAATTCCACTAACATGTGCCAGAATCTGCTGCATATTCGGCAAAAATTGTTCCGATTTGATTATGTTACCTATTCCTTGGTTTCGCTGTCTTTCCCAGAATGTTCTCTGATTTCCCAGAATGTTCCTTGAGAGATGCTTAGTTTGTGATGGTTGTAACCATGGATTCAGCAAATGTATTTATAGGGGGGTAGAAAGGTAAGTGATATAGGTGGGCCTATAGGGCTTTTGCCCACAACTTAGAGCCTAATACATAATTCAAACACCAAAGTCTAATGTTGTTGGAGTTCGACGTTGTACTAAGGACCAATGACATCTAAACACGTGTCAAAAGAAGGACCAACCACATAAGCAGATGCAGAGTTATTATGCCACACATCAACCATTAATGAAATTCCCTGCAGCATTTAATGCGATAACCCTTTCACGACGGAACAGAACAGCCTCACCATGAACAAGGCAGGCTAGAACATAAACTTTCGGCCAATATGACAGGTCAGAATAGATAAGGAAATGATGAACAAAGGATATAAGCAGATTTCTAAAACAAAGAGAAGGTTAAGTTCTTTATCACCATCCTATCTCTATACTCCGTTGATATCTCTTTTCTAACTTGCTCGTCGGAGGGTTCACTGGGGGACTCCCATTCCCCGTTGAACTCTTGTACAGGCTTCTCAGTGGGCCAGTAATCGAACAACCATGTGGGAGGCCTAGATCAGCTCGACCCGTTACTTAGAAACCCGTAGTATCATCAGCTGGAGGCGTCTGTGGGAACCTTTCATTCCGTGTGGCAACTGTGCTCATTGTCGCCGGAGACCCATTCCCGATAATCCTTACCTGTCACCCACCAAGGTGGATGGTTACAACTAGATCCATCGTTTCTCAACACAATGTTGCCGACCCCCAAGCCGACCCTCCTAACCCAAACAACCCACCGCGGTATTTCACAGAACTCACCAACAGCATTAACCGTCTAACCGAGCAAAATCAAGCCCTGATTAATGCTTTGCTTCAACGAGACCTCCCTCTGCCTCCTCCACTATCACAAGATATCCCACCTAACCGAGAACGAGCCCCGAGCCATCCCTTCCAGCAAGCCCACCCTTCTAACTTTGAGGGTTTGCGACCCCCTCCCTAAGATATGAACCCGCCATCTCGGGGTCCACATCCATCAGTCCAAGCACCCGCTTCTGAGGGAGAGGCCAGTAGTGTCCAGCCTCCATTGCATTTTGGTGGTGACAACGTTCCTATTTGGGATGCAGAACTCCGAGCCATGAAACTTCAGCTTCAAGAAGTCATGCAGAACATGCAGAATAAACCCTCCACAACAGCCAGCTCATCGTTCGTCGCTTCCATCAGGGACAAACCCCTACCTCCTAAGTTCTAATTGCCCTCGATCGACTCCTTCAACGGCACAACGGACCCAGTCGACCACTTGGAGACCTACAGGACCCTGATGGTCCTCCATGCATTCCCCGATGAGATCATATGTCGAACCTTCCCCGTGACACTTAAGGGGTCAGCCCGACTATGCTTTAGTTAGCTACCAACGGACTCCGTCTCTACTTTCCAGCACCTAAGCGACTCATTCCTTAGCCATTTCATCGGTGCCCAGTGCCAGAGGCGTCCAGCGACCCAGCTCCTCAATATCTATCAGACGGAAGGGGAGTCGCTGCGTAGCTTCGTCACCCGTTTCAACACCGAAGCCTTGCAGGTAGTGGAAAATGACGACAAGGTTATTCTCACGGCTTTCATGGCTGGCCTACGAT